GGCATATATTTGTTATATAGTAGTCATTTGATAGAGCCGATGCCCTTTTTAAATCAATTAATACAGAGTGAGAGAGAGGGAGATAGGAGGAGAGAGAGAGAGAGAGAGAGAGAGGGCGAATGAGTTGCATTAATAATGAGCGTGATAAAGTAAATGCTTTTAATTATGACAACAACAGCAACAAAAAAAAGAGACGTCGACAAACCAAATTTATTAATGAAATGTAGAAAATGATGATATACATTGTATGCAATCAATTTCAGACAGATAACAATTAATCACTTCTCAGCTCTGACAGCTCTGCATAAAAAACAAACAAACAAACAGAATAGCAGAACACAGATATACCCTATTTAACTCAGACTTGAAGGATATTCAGGGTTCCCTACAAATTTGGTGGCTGTATCTTAAAAACTGTGGGAACTATGCGATGTTATCGATTTATACTTTCTGGTATATCGCTTTCATCGATTATTGTAAAAAAAAGTGGAATGTTTCGTCTTATCAATTTGGCATTATCGATTTTGGTCGATTTGAACGTAGAATTCAAATTTTACAATTTTATAGCAGAGTACAACAATTGCCTTAGAATCTAGTGTACAGAAGTTGTAAATGAAATTGTATAACTCTTTTTAGCAAACCTTAGCAAGTTCTTAATTTAAATGTAATTTAATGATTGACTCTTTGTTAGTAAAGTTAATTTCATTTCGTTTTTTTTTTTTTAGAATGTTATTTTACAATTTCCTATTTATTTGCAGCAAGTTGTAATTTCAATAAGTCCACCCTTAACTTTTCTATTGAATTTTCTGTTTTTTTTTATGGGCACACGAATAAACAGAAAGCAAATAAAGAAAAGAGGAAAATTGATCCATTGTCATCATTGAGAGAAGCTTGAATCCATTTTATATGCTTAACGCTTAACGGATTACTTTCGCACTTATTAGCATGCCTCTCGCTCGCACTCGCAGTATGGAGGAGGGGGCGGTGGGCAGGGAAAACGAGGCCTATCAACACCTAACAAACAGTTAGCTCAAAACTCGAGACTTGAGTCTCAACTCTCGAAATAAACAAAACAAAAACTCGACAAAAAGCCAAAGAAAAAAAATACAAAAATTCGACGCAACTCAATTCGAATCACGCACAAAAAAAGAAAGGGGTTTGATAGAGGGGAGGGAGTGGAGGGGGTGTAACTGACACAAAGGTTTTCCATGAATTTTTCGACCACTTCCGTTTTGCTTGCCGACCAGCAGCTGAGTTGCTTTTTTGAGCAGTTAACAGTTAAAGCTCGCTGCTCGGCTGCTTTTTCACTCAATCGTCGCTGCTCTTGCTTCTTGTTCTTCTCACTCTTCTCGCTGCTAATTCGCATTAATCATACGCCGCGTTGTGTACGGCATTTTATTTTTATTTATTTTTGCATCGCGGCATGAAAATGAAATTCAGACAAAAACACCAACAACAACAGCAACAGCAAAGCTTTTTTCACATTTTTATTTTTACACGCAAATTTACTGACTGGCGACGACGCTGGCGACGACGTTGACGACGGCGTTTTGTTTTGCCGTCTTACTCACAGTGTTGCTGCTGGCTGCGCTGCCAGCGTCGCTGCTGTTTGCTGCTTGCTTTTGCTTTTGCCGTTGTTGTTGCTTTTGCTGTTGCTTATTTTAATGTGTCAAGGTTCGCGGCATCATATTTTGCGCTTTATTTGAGTGCGCTTCAAGCGTACAATATTATTTTAGTCACTGATAGAGTGTGTGAGACAGAGAGAACAAGAGAGCTCTCTTTAATTTCTGCACTTTCTTTGCAATTAAAAGTCGGCAGAAATGGAGAATAGAGCTTTGCAAAAGTGCATATAAAAGATGATGGCCAGCGTAGTGTTGAAAGGTGTGCTCAAGAGTGGAGAGGAGTGACAAGAAGCAGAGGACGATCGGCGAACTGCCAGTGCTGAGCGTTTAGCCTTTTTTTGGCATGGCTGAACAGCAGCGCTTTTTTTTGCACATGAGCCCTAAACAAATGTTAAGATTTAAGTTATGAATCTTATTTTTATGGATGTATATATTTATGTATATATAAATGTAAGCAGGTATCTTTGTATGTATGACTTGTAAATCCGTTAAAAACTAAAGCAGCTGTAAAAAAGTTAAAGTGAGATGAAAAGCATCAGAAGAGGAGAGGAGGAGGGCAAGGAAAGAGGACAGCGACGACGAAGACGTATCGATAAATGTAAATGCAGCATTAACTGTGAGCGTAGGAGTTGTTTAAGAGGGGGGAGGGGAAGTGGTAGACGAGCAGCAAATGCTAAACGAATTTTTTGTTTCTGTAGTTGTGTGTAGGTGAGCTGCAACTGTGTGAGTGTGTAAGAGAGGGGAAGCGAAACTCGATGTGTGTGCGAGCGAGTGAGGAAAAGATTTTTATTACCGCAGCGGAGAGTCGTAAAAAGAACTAAATTACTTTTAAGTTTGTAAATTGTGCGGCGAGCTGCGAGCTGCGCCTGTCTGTATGTAGATATGGATGTCTGTGTGTTTTAGTGTGCGTGCAGCATAAGTTTAATATTATGGCAACTTACACACAGTCCCCCTCCCCCTTTCACCCTTCCCCTCCGCAAAAGAGTTTTGCATTCTTTGTGTCACGCGTTCCATTGCGAATAGATGCACACAGCAAGCAGATGAGAAAGCTCTTCCAAACCCAAAGCCAAAAACTGAAGAAGTATAATGCATTGGGGAAGGGGGAAGGGGGGGAGCTGAGATAGAAAATAAAATGTATGAAAAGGCATTTATCCATAATGAGGCAAGGCGTGCGAGAGGGAAGATGAGAAAGGGGAGAGGGGGTGTGGAGTATTTGTATCGCTTCACTTGCTTTTTATTATGACCACAAAATGGACAGTGGGGAGAAAGAGTGAGCGAGAAGGAAGATTGCGAGCCAGAGGCAATTGGGTATATTGCACGGAGCAAGTGTGGTGAGTATTAGATGTGTACGTGTATGTGTGTGTGTGTCATAAAGTTATTAACTAGTGCAGAGATGAGGGAAAGTGCTTGATTATATCGAGAGTGTGTGAGGGAGAGGGATAAATACACATAAAGTTTTTATGATGAATGTGAATATCGAAGAAGATGCTTCAATTGCTTTTTATTTTGTGTCAGTTAAAGTTTTTTTTCAAGCAGCAAAAACATTGTACATATTCTCTGACGATTTTATTTAAAGACGATGATGAAATGCTTATCGTTTAATGTGTGGTTCTTTAATCATAACGAAGTTAATTCTGAGAAATAATAACATTTCCCATATTGTTTTTTATAAATATAATTGAATTTCTTATGTACTTCTTTGAAGTGATTACATTTAATATGCTAATGAGTATTTTTGTAATAAAATGTAATTTACTATATTGCATCCCTTTGTTGTGCAGTGTAACATTTATTTAACAGTATGTACCCACACATAAATGAGTACCTAAAGCAATCAGTAGGTGTCGCCACACACACACGCACACACACACACAGCTGCTTCATGCGACGTAATCCCGAGTCAGTTTACCGTTCAATCCATTTCGCAACTTCCCTCACATTGCTCACACACACACATCCAAAGCCATGTGCATGTGTATGTGTATGTGTGCTCTTCTTTTGCTGCCTTTTGTCAAAAGCTCACACAAAAGAAAGAAATAAAGAAACACAACTGAAGCTAGAAACACTCGCTTTGTGTCTCCATCCCCGCTGTCCCCGCTCCTTCCCAGCCGACGACCCTCGCTGCGCCTATGCGCCTATTTTTTTTTTTCATTTTGCATTAATTAAAAACAAAATAAATAGCAAAAGTCGCGCGCGCCGACCCGAACAGAGCCGAACCGAGCCGAGCCGATCAGATGCGAGCGCCGATGGGCAGCCGAGGCGTGAAAATAAAACTGTAAAAAAGAAACAAAACACAGTCTCTGATTTAAATGTGTTTGTGTTTTTCTTTTACTGTTTTGTTCTCGTTATTGTTGTTGTTACACAAGCAACAAGCAAAACAAAACTCTCTCTCCCTCTCTCTTTAGTTGGTTTTATGCTGCTGCTGATTAGAATTGACTTTTGAGTATATTTTCTTCTTGTTTTTGCATTTACGAATTTTCGCTGTTGTTTTGTGTATTTTCAATAAGTATTTTTTTGTCGTCGTCTTGCATTGAATTTCTTTTGATTATTTGTGAAGTCAGCGAAATTTGCATTTTGCATTTTTCGCTCGCCGTTTATTGTTTTTTTTTTGTTGCTATTCTTGTTGAACTTTTGTGTAAAGTGTTAATCGAATTTTGTCGCTTGCTCTTTTTAAATGCAGCTGCCAAGTCAAATTGCAATCAAAAGAACTCAGCAAAAAACAAAAGAAGCAAATAACAAAGAACAAAATCAAATAAATAGAAAAGGAAAACAAAACCAGAAAACAAAACAAAACAAAAGCAAATCAAAAGCCAAATGCGCGCACGCAGCAAACGCAACAAAATGCACAACTGTCGACGCTTGGCAACACTGTCGACATTCTACAATACTGGACGACAGCGCCACTATTATCAAGTCTAAGCCGAGAATTAAAGAGAAATCAAATAAAATACATTAAAAGTGACAAAACTCAAAACTCAAAACTCGCTTCTGTTTTCTCAAAAATAGACTTCGATTCTATAAAACTCAATCTCAACTCTTAACTCGCTGAATGCTCTAAACTAATTTTACTCTTTGAAATACTTTGCCTAATCGAGCATAAATAACTTAAAAGTGTATCTATGAATATTTGGGTAAGCTATTAAAATATGTAGAATAATTAAAATATATAAAACAATTAAAATGTATTAATAATTAGACTGTAAATTCAGTCTTAACTTGATTAAGAGCAGGGCGCTCTTATAGAACTGACTCTCTAAAGTGATCCGGGATGAATTTCTATTACCACTGAATATAATTTTACTAACATTTTTATAATTACTCGAGTAATTGATTTAAGTAATTAAACATTCGCTAATTTGATCAACTATTTTGTTGCAGCAACAAAAATTCCTAAAACGACCTGCGGAGGATGTTGACAATGGCGCCGACAACTTTGAACCGCCGCACAAGTTGCCCAACAACAACAATAACAACAACAATAACAACAATAATAACAATAATAATAACAACAATAATAATAATAACAACAACAATAGCAGCGGCGTTGGCAACGGCAGCGTCGGCGGTGGCGCCTCTGAAAATCTAACCAAATTCTCTGTGGAAATCGTGCAACAATTGGAGTTTACAACATCGGCGGCAAATTCACAGCCGCAACAAATAAGCACAAATGTCACGGTGAAGGCGCTGACCAACACCTCGGTCAAGAGCGAACCGGGAGGCGCCGAGCAACAGCAGCAACACACACAGCAGCAACACACACAGCAGCAGCAACAGCAACATCAGCAACAGCAGCAGCATCATCAGCAGCAGCAGCAACATCAACAGCAGCAACATCAACAGCAGCAACATTCGCAGCAGCATCAGCAACACCAGCAGCATCCGCAGCAGCATCAGCAACATCCGCAGCAACATCAGCAACACCAACAGCATCAACAGCAACACCAGCAACATCAGCAACATCCGCAGCAGCATCAGCAACACCAACAGCAGCAGCAACAAGTCGGCGGTCTGGGTGGTCTTGGCAATAATAATGGGCGTGGCGTCGGTGTCGGGGGCGTGGCACCAGGCGCTGGCGTTGGCATGCCCCAAGCACCCCCCGGCCTTGGTGGTGTCGGCATGGGCGCAGCAGCAGCCGCCGCTGCAGCAGCTGCTGCCGCCGCCAATATGATGTCATCCGCCCAGCAACAAAAATCGGCCCTCGGCAATTTGGCCAATTTGGTTGAGTGCAAACGTGAACCGGACCATGATTTTCCCGATCTTGGCTCACTGGACAAGGATGGCGCCAATGGGCAATTTCCCGGCTTTCCCGATCTGCTGGGCGATGATAATTCAGAGAACAATGACACCTTCAAGGATCTCATCAACAATCTGCAGGATTTCAATCCAAGTTTCCTCGACGGCTTCGATGAGAAACTGGACATTAAAACCGAGGATGGCATCAAAGTGGAACCGCCAAATGCCCAAGATTTGATTAACAGTTTGAATGTGAAATCCGAGGGTGGTTTGGGTGGTGCAGTGCCTCATGGCTTTGTTGGTGGCGGTGGTGGCTTTGGAGGCGGTGGAGTGGGCATGTCTCTCGATCCGCAGTCGCTGAAAATGCGACCCTATCAGAATGCAGCTGCCAACGGCAATGGCAATGGGGCAGGCAACAACAACAACAGCTCTGCGGGTTTGATGTCTGAGCATTCGCTTGCCGCACAGACCCTGAAGCAAATGGCCGAGCAGCATCAGCATAAGAATGCCATGGGTGGCATGGCCGGTTTTCCACGTCCACCGCACAACAACCTGCAACAGCAGCAGCAACAGCAGCAGCAGCAACAGCCGCAGCAGCAGCAGCAACATGGTCAGCTGATGGGCGGCGGAGGTGGAGGAGGCGTGGCGCCTCCAGTTGGACAACAGCAGCAGGCACGTTACAGCGACTATGTCAGCGGTTTTCCCAATGACTTCAACATGGGTCCACCCAATCCCGCCCAGCAGCAACAGCAGCAGCAACAGCAGCAGCAGCAGCAACACTTGCCGCCGCAATTCCATCAGCAGAAGCAAAGTTTCCTGGATATTAAACAGGAGCTTTTCTATTCCACACAAAACGATTTCGATCTCAAGCGTCTGCAGCAGCAGCAGCAGGCCATGCAACAGCAGCAGCAACATCATGCCCAACAGCAGCAACAACATCCGAATGGACCCAAAATGGGTGTGCCTAATTTTGCCAAGCAGCAGCCGCAGCAACAGGTGCCAACGCCGCAGCAGCTGCAACAACAACAACAATACTCGCCATTTAGCAATCAGAATGCCAACGCCAATTTTCTCAGTCGAGGCAATCAGCAGCAGCAACAGCAGCCGCAGCAGCAGCAGCAGCCAAATCGTGCCGGGCCGCAGTCCAATGCGGGCAGCGCTGCTGGTAATGCAACGCAGCAGCAGCAACAACAGCAGCAGCAGCAGCAACAGCAGCAGCAACAGCAGCCGTCAACACAAACAACAACGCTGCAAATGAAGCAAACGCAGCAGTTGCACATCAGTCAACAGGGCGGCGGTTCGCACGGCATTCAGGTGAGTTTCTTCTCTTATTTTCTATTAACTACAACTATTTATAAATATGCATATAAATATGCTATTAACTTAACTATTTAAATATGCCATTTTGACACGCATCCAAATTTCCCTATGCAGTCTTAACAGCTTTAACAAAAATCCCTCATTGCTGAACAGCGACACTGGCGTCGACCGCGCTGTTTCGATTAAAAACACACCCACACTCACGCACAATTGACACACAAAACAGGCACGTTGTATATACAGCTGCGGTCAAAATAATAGTAGTGCACACATAAATTTTTGGAAAATATTAACAAAAATATGGTTAAAATATAATTTGTAGTGTGAATACATAAGTAAACTTTAAAAGGTGCAAATGCTAGAAAATTATTAACATTAAAAATTAAAGAATAATAGTGAAGCTTGCACAGCGTTCCCTGCGACTTAATAATATATTGAGAAACTAAATATTATGGGTGGATGCAAAATATGCTAAAATTACTATTTTGTTTAATATAAAATGAAAAGCATCAGTATTATTATTTTGTCGGCAACTGTATATAAATCTGCCATTTTGACACGCATATAAATTTCCCTATGCAGCGGTAACTGCTTTGACAAAAATCCCTCAGCAGCAGCAGCGATGCTGACGTCGACAGCGCTGTTTGTGTGAAGCTTCGACTAAAAGCCCACACACACACACACGCACACACACAATTGACACATTAAATAGGCATGTTGTATATATGTGTGTGTGTGTGTGCCCGAGCAGCAGAGACTTTTTTCATGCTGGAAATTTCACTCCGAAAGTCACTCAGCCCAGCTCTGCTCTGCTCTGCTCTTTTTCTCTCTCTCTCTCTCTCTCTCTTTCGTATTCACCGCACCCCGCGTTTAACCCTCCTTAGCAGCGTCGTCCACCCAAAGCTTATCTCTGTCCATTAATTTTACCACACATCTGTTCATAAAATTGTCAGTCGAACTGTCGTTCGGCTTCAGTTCGTTGCTCGTGTCGCGTCGGGCAGCAGCAAACGGAACAGCAGCTAGCGACTGTGTAGCCATGTGCGCCATTTTCATTACGTGCCGCACGATTCACGACTGAAAAGGGAAAAACATTAATAGTTGTTGCTGTTGCTCCCATTTCTGCTGCTGGTGCTGCTGCTGCTGTTGCTGCTGCTGTCTAGCAATGAAATTCGTCGCAAAAAAAAGATGATAAAGTATTCGTCAGTTATTCGTCCTTTCGCCTTGTCCTGTCGCATGGGGTTCTGCTTTACACAGATTCTCATTTCCGTTGGGCGAGAGCTCAAATTGTAGTTAATCGCTTTGAATACCTGTGTTATTCCTCTATTCCTCCATCCCCATGAATAAAATATGTAATTATAGATACACGATTATTCATGCTTACAAAAGAGCAATAGTATTCACTTGCCAGCATTCGCTGAGAATTGCATAGTCATTTTCATGCTAGCTTCTATTTGTAATTCATTTCGAAGAGTAATTTTGATGAGTGTACTTATATCTTATATCATATAGTATTCATAGTACTCATGAATGCACTCATGAGTGTATTCACTTTCAGTGGAGACAATGTGCTATCGATCTACAATAGCAAGTTCAGCGCTATGCATTTTTTATATCGACTAATGTTATTCACATTTAATTATTCAAAAGAATTTTATTACATTTTTCCTTTATGTCGAAACTTTTACTGCACTTTATGCGAGGACCCAATCTCTGCTTCTCCCTCTCCCTCTCTCTTTCGCTCTTTTGCTCTTTGTCGGTTTCTCTGTTTCTCTGTTTCTCTGCTTCTCTGTCGAGGGTCTCATTACAAGTTGTGCGGCTCTTCACTCAAATGATATTCTTACATTCAGTCATGGGACATGATGCCCTACCTAACCCATATTCATTATCCGCTCCAAATTGTTTTCCTGTTATTTCATAGAGGCAGCAACAGCAACAAAAGCAACAAAACATTTCATTTACAAAATGAAAGTGCAAAACTTTTTAAGTTAAGTTTTATGTCGCTGAGTAGTTTTCATCAGAAAAGCCAAAAAATAAAGCAAGTTGAAGAGCTGTACTCGAGTGAGCTCGACTACAAAGTACCCTGTTAAGCCAGCTATTAAATGTGCTTGAGGTTTATTGGCAAATATCCCTCTAAATGGACGGGTCCAGGAGCTGAAGAGTAAAAAATATAATATATTAAATATTGATCAGTAATGTAAATATTATATAAATACATAATATTATAGTTATCGATCAAATGAACTCAGCTTGAACTGTGCGGGGTATTAGGAAAATTGATGCTTTCATCTACCTGGTTACATCATTGAGCAGAAAATCATTACACCCATCTGTACATATTTTCAATGGGTTCAGGGTATAAAACGAGGAGCGACCAGAACAAGAACGAACTAAAACTCGTTGGATTTTCGAGTTGTTGTTGTTGTTCCTGCTGCTTTTTGGCTTTGGTTTTGCCTTTGCCTCGGCTAAAGGACACGACTAAAATTTCAGTTTTCGGCTGAGTCCAAGCGCACCAACAGCAACAGCAGCAGCCACCAAGCTGAAGTTTTCCCATGAATTTTGTTCATGCATTACAAAGTGGTAGCCAGCTGCACCCCTCTCCCCCCTCCTCCCTCCCCTTTGGCAACCCACACCCTCCATTTTCACAGTCTATTCGGTGGTCAGCAGCAGCATCATCATCATCATCATCATCCATCCCCTGCTGTACATGCTATATATGCATATAGAAATAGTTGTGCAAGTTGCGAGCCAAGCAAAGCAGATTGGCCAAAAAAAGGAACTTGTTGACAATTAAGATTGAAATTTGGTTTAGTTGCTACACTCAGAAAAACAATAGCTAATCGCCATACTTTTTGTGCTATATTATTCAGAATGTAAATTATTAATACGCATTTTAAGTTCATGTAATTTAGATTGATTTATGTTTAGAAATTATATCTAAAAACTAGAAAAACATTATATATTTCGCTTTTGGGAGATTTACTAAAGTTTAGAGCGATTCTTTTTTCCAAGTGTACCCACTCCACTCCACTCCCTGCGCTATGCCAGAAGAGAGTAGAGTTGCCACCCTGCTGCGGACATTAGCGTCCAGTTTGACAAACACCTACCCTTTTTGCCGCTGTCTAAATCAACGCATTGACTTTTGAGGCAAATAAAAGAGAGGTTTGCTGCGTCTTCTTATCTTCGAGTCGAATGAATCTCTCAAGTCAACACGTTTTACACACACACTTGGCTCTAACGATATATTTGCATAGGACTCATTAAGGGCCCAAGCAATAGCCCCTGGCAACCCCAAAAAAAAAAACAAAAGCTTTTGGGCAGGGTGTACAAAGCAACAGCCACAAAAAAATGGAATGGAATAAAAAAACAAGAGTTGAGTGCAAGAAATGAACACGCAGGGTGTAAAATGTGAAATGTACAATAAATATTACAAGCTAAAAAAATTTAGTGGGTGTGTAGGGATATGGTGGGGGGTTGGGGGGGGGGGTGAAGGCTGTGGATAGCCACAGCGAGTGGCAGAAGAAGAGCTGAAGAAAAAAAAATAGTACGCAAATGAAATGAAAATAAATCTTCCTTGTAAATATTTGCCTAACGAGCTTTTTAGGATGCCCTAACGAGAGAGGCAGCGAAGCAGGCAGTGAAAGAGAAAGAGAGAGAGAGTGAAAGAGAGCGAGAGGGAGAGAGAGAAAGGGGTACAAGCCAAATGCAGAATAAAGTGGAAAGAATTCCAAAAATAAATGCAAAGAAAGTTGAATGCTGGATAAATGAAAGCAGATAAATGTCAGAAGGAAGATACATATTAAAATATTATACTTCCATTATTCTTTTTTGCTCAGTGTAGCTATAAATATATTTGTGGTGGGTTTTTAAACGATTGACTTTTTAAACGGAAGCAGTCTGCTGATTTTAATAAGCTTAAATAAATCATTTATTTATATTTTAATTTAGCAATTCTGTTTTTGCTATGGAGTATTTTGGGCGGAGAAGCTTTATTCTGTTATACACAAGGAAGTAGCTTGATTATGATGTAGATTGATCGTGTGATAGTTTCATTGTTTGGCAGCTTAGGCATTGGAATATCATAGTTTAATTATTTATACATTTAAGGAATTTAGATTCTACATAAACAAAATGCATTTGAAAAATAGATTTGTTGAGGCGCATATCAGATGCGATATTCTTTCGACTCACTCTGATTTGGCATCTCCCTCTCTCTCTCGTTAACGGGCTATCTGTCGCTGTGCCCACAACATGACGTCGATGTCAACGAAGCCACACGATAACAGCGACAGCGACAGCAGTAACAGCAACAGCAACAGCAGCAACCACAGCAGAAGCAGCAGCAGCAATAACAGCAGCAGCAGCAACAACAGCGAAGCCAACGACCATTAACATTGGCGTCGGCGTCTGTCTCGCTGTTGTTGTTGCTCTTTCTGCTCTTTCTGCTATTACTGTTACTGTTGTTGTTACTGTTGTTGTTGCTGTTATTGCTGTTGTTGTCTTTGGTCGTTGGGTTGTCGTGTAAAAGTTCAATGAATTCAGAATGTTCACATTTGCATGTCCTGCATTAACTCGTTAAAATGCCAACAGCAACACAAGCGAAACAACAACAACAAAAACAACAGCAACAACAAGATTGCTAACCAGTGGAATTGCCAAAGAATTTGTATAAAATAAAATAATGCACGATTACACATTACATGTATGTAGTGTGTCTGTCAGCGGGTCTGTGTGTGGAGTATAACAAGGAGGAGCAGCAACAAGAATAACATGTAAAATGCCTGGACGCTCAAAAGTATGCAACGGAAATGTGCGAAACGTGAAAATGTGCGGAAATTATATTTTTTCAAGGGTGCAGATTTTCGAGTGGGGTTATGGAGTGTGTAATGGGGGAAGGGTGTGGGCGGTTGGTGTGGGGGTGGGGGTGGTAGAGTGTCAGATTTTTATGACTTGCCGCGTCAAGTTAATGAAGTTGCAAGACGCGCGCTACACATGCG